TCAGAAAGAATAAACCAGTTTTATTAAGTAAGGATTTGTGTCGCTAAAATTGCAGTCGGAACGAAGTTACGGAAAATCAACTAAGGAACGGAGACGTAACAATATGTATATATAGTTTCTCTGCGGTGAGGCAACTAAAAACGCTGTGTATATAGTCCTGATTGTTGTTTGATAATTTGTTATTGCCTTGGAAGTATATCCCAAACTTTCTTAAACTGCCATAGCATAGTCAGTTATATTCAGACATCACTAGGTTTGCTCTCGAAGTTTTACCTTCAGGATTGATTTCGTGGTAAAATACATTATAATACTTTGAATTCATATAATTTTAGACATACAGCACGATGAAAATAAATGTTTCATACAAGTTCGTGTTTGAAATGAATGTTGTGAAAAACTGAAAGGTGATCTCATTCGCCTAGTTTTAAGGTAATAGCCCGTATATTAACTATAGCTTATGTATAAATACAATTCTTATATTATTGAAACCGAAATACCAGGTATAATTACGTTAATTTAAAATTATTGATATAAAGATGACCTAATTCTTATTTATCTAGGCCTATGTACTTATTTTTCGCCAAAAACTTTTTGTCGCAATATGGTTTGAGATTACATTCTAGCCGTTCGATATATTTTATGGTGATGACTCGGGTGACGTTACAGTGCTTTACAATCGGTAGCATTTTACCTTGGCGTATAACTAAAATTTGGGGTTTCCCCGGGTAAGAATAAATAACACGGAATATGGAGCAACATCCCATCATCTAGTGATGTCAAAGATGGATTGTGAGTTGATGGTGTATGTTTAGTATTTTTTACTGTAATGTTTTAAACATCTTTATGGTTTTGTTATAATTTCTGTAATTTAATTAAGATGGAAAAATTAATGAATAATTTGTGAGTGTTTCATGATACATCACACACAAAAATGCAATAGATTTTTTTCTAACGTTGTGCTACTGCTATTCTTTAAAACTCCTGATTCCTAATTCAATCAAATTTAAAGGATCAGACTTGGAAGTTAGAGTAAGCAGTGGCACCAAATCTAGTCACCTTGTAGACTCTAGAAGTGATAGGCCTGCATCAATCATCAGATAATTTTTCTCAAAGCACCATTCACAAGTTAAAGTCTATTAGTATTACATGCAGTTAGTTATCATACTAGAAACACTGGCAAAAAAGTTTTCTGGACAACCAAGACAAGTCCAACAGCAAAGAGTTAAGTTAAAACTTAAGCCAGATAATGGGTGCTCAACAAGGTAAAGAAAATAGACGAGATGATCGGGGCAGTGGATCATCAGTTGGAAGTGGTCATGGTGTTGGAAAAACTTCAAAAAGTCTTAAACTCCGAAACAAGGATTCTCGTATTGCAACTGCCAGCTTGCCAGTGTCTGGAAATATCTTTACAGAACATAATGGTGAGTTCTCTGTATGAATTATTTTTTTATTTTTGTGTATAAGTATATAACATTTTGCTCAAAATTTTACACATCCATGAAATTTGAAATAATATTTTTATTTACAAGATGAGAGGACGGTGTATAAGATCATAGTATGTGTGAAAAAATTCTGGATTTAGGAGTTGTTTCTCTTATATTTTAAACTTTATCTAAGATGATTCTGCTGATTACCCTCAATTGGTAAAAAAAAAAAGTGTTAGAGCACAATTCTTTATGGGAAACACATTCCTGGATGAGCAGAGAAAAATACTTAGTTGTTGAAAAATTCTGGATTTTTTTGAAAATGAAGTTAACGGGTAAAGAAGACATATCTGAAAGGAAAAAGAAGTAAAGTTATAAGGAGAATTGAAAAAATTACTTTATTTCAAAATACCTATTTAAGAAAAGAAAAAATTGTGCTATGACCTATGTCTAACCAAAAAAGAAGAATTAAGAAAATTGTTTATCATTTAAGATTTCAAGAAATAAGGATGACCATTATAAAACTGTTTAATATCAGTTAATATTTTTTTTAGTATTTTAATTTTTAAGGAGAAATAGAAATTTATCTTATTAAAAATGTCATTTGTAATGAAAATAATAATTTTTAAATACATAAAGCTTGGTTTTGTTAAGATAAAATGTTTAAAGAAATTAATAAAAAACTGCCCACGTCTTTGATTTTTTATAAGTTCTTTGAACATGTAAAAATGAAGATTTCCAAAATTTAAAAAGTTAATATATGATCTTTCTGACTCTTTAAAGAATTAATGGCTTAGGGAGAGTTCTGACTATTTCATACTTATTTAGTTTTAAGCTTTATTTGAAACAAAGATAGGATAGCATTTAGAATAATAAAATTATAAGCAAGGTTGGTACTGTGGAGATTATCTTTATGATTCAAAAAGATGTGTACGAAATCAAACTAAGTGTCGGGGTTTTATATTTGTCACATGATGTTTAAAAGTGTAATTGTTTTATGATGTTAGAGTTTAATATGGCAAATGTTTAAATTTTGAATTTCAGTGTATCCTTATCTTTGGTTAAAGTTATTTTGGCATATTTGATTTTGTATTGTGCTAGTTTTTGTTGGAGCTTGTATGTTTTTATCCAAGTTTCATTATTTTGTGCTCTGCTAAATTTTTCAGTAAACTCTTTTCTTTATGGGAATTGTGATTTTCTTGTTCTTTGTTTATGTATATTATTTTTAATCTTGTATTGAATATATTTCTTATAAGTTTTGTTAAGCATTAGCTTGTTATTTCAACTTTTATACTGTTTGCTTTGATGGTATCTTTGATGTTGCATTAAGTATAGTATATTTTTTTCTCACACGTGTTTTAATATAAAATTTGTGTTTTTTTATTATACTTAACTTTTTTTTTTGTTAAGGTTCTTACTTCTTGATAATTCCCATCCTCCTTTTCTTTCTTTCTTTTTTTTGGGGGGGGGGGCTTCTATACATGTATCTTTATTACATGACCTTGCTTAATTTTTGTTCCATTACTTCTTCAGGTAAAACTTTTTTTTTATCTGTATTCTGTTCATTGAGGCTTGTATTTATTTACATCATGTATTTCAACTTGTGAGTTTACCTTTAACAAACATAATCTGTAGACAGCAATAACAGGATTGAACTGTTTGGTTCTTCAAGACTTTCCTTGCACATCTGCCTGTGGTAAAAGTAAAAATTTATACCCATCATTTACTTTTCAGGAGATCATTGAATCCTCTCTTAAACTCCTCTAAAGTGCTGATCTCCATTATGGCTAAAGAAAACTCATTCAATAAACTAATTGTCAGTTAACCCGTTTAGAAATAGTGTCTTAACCAGGACTTATCATGACTTTTCAGTGTCATAAACTTATGTCTTCACATCCTATTATCTTCAGAATATAACATTTGTTTCATTGATCCCTTGGAGATGCTACACTCAAACAGTACATTCCTGAGGAAAAACAGGAGTCTAACATATTGTATAATTTGATAATTTTTTATGTGTCTTGTCAATCTCCAATCAACTTTCCTCATATTGGACTGTTTAGTTTAATAAGATGACTTTTATTTCTTTTCCTGAACTTTCACTAATATAAATAGACCTACTATTCTCAGCTTTCTTGTGTTGTGTTGTTGTTGTTTTTTTGAGGCACTTTTAACATATGTGTGGGATGTAAATAATTCATAATCACTTTGCTGAGGTATTTGACCAAGGTAAAGAGGAAAGTTCCATTGAATTACCTGAATAACCCTGAATGAAAATGAGTACCCTCCTCAGTGTGTGTGTTTATGAAATGGTCATCATACATCTGAGAGGCTATTTTATGTCAGCAAATAGAAATGTTAGTTTATTAATGGGAGCCAAGGTAATTTGGTGATTTTTAAGGTATTTTTATCTGAAGAAAGTGGTAATTCAGCCATGGCTTGTATGGATAACCAACTTCTTTCTACCCACAGCAAACAATGAAAAAGGACCACTGTTCTGAGTCTCTCATGAAAATCTTTATTATTGCCATTTTGGGCTAAACTTTAAGGTCTGATGTGTAGAAGTAGGCTGAATAAAATATATACATTTATAACCTTATCAAGTCGCTTGAAAGTTATGCTATGAGAACTTGGTGAAGTAACATTAAAGAAAGTTTAGAGCCAGCTATAAATGATCTGTGAATATTGTTGGTGAGTCAGTTATCTAGTAGTGTGGTTTATCCAAAGTGTTTATGCATGTAGGGTACGTAAGTATACAATATATTCTTAGTCATGAGACAGGGACCAGGAATCAGTAATGTAATTGAAGTAAATATTTTTTTTAATTTAGTTTCATTAATAGTATTGGTTACTATTTACAATATATTTATCATTTTTCATTTATGTATTATATTTCACTGTTATGAGGATTGTTTTTCATTATTAGCTTAATATATGGAGTTAGGACTAATCTAAATATAAGAAACTCGTGAGGTATTATGGCCATACATATCAGTAACAGTGAGGATACTCAGTTGATGAATTAGTGCATTCTAATCATTCTAAGTTTTTGATCTATGATATTTACATACATCTAGTTAAACTTGTATATTACATTAACTATTTTATTTACTAGGTTTGTTTGTAGTTCAAAACACCATTAATAACAAGTTTGCTTTGCTTATTAGTTGAATTATAAAATATTAGGAACTCATGATCACAATAAATCTTTTTGTTCTTTAATCCACAAATTGAAAAGTAAAAAATAAAAAACTCACTAGTATGACTAAAAACTCTTAGTTTGCAGCATAAAATTATCTTTTCACTACAATCAGCAACTGTTCAGTTTAAAAAATACACACACCAATTCTGACCTTACTGTAAAATTGCATCATTTTATGCTTACGAGTTTAATAATGTGTTGGGTTCTTTGCTGTTTGTAATTTATATTAATGACATTAACTCTGGAATGACTAACAAAATTTTGAAGTTTGCAGATGACATTAAGATTTTTGGGGTGGCTAACTGTATCAAAGATGCTGCAGACTTACAGGGAGATTTAGATCATTTGATGTATTGGGCCAATACGTGGCAGACGATGTTTAACTATTCAGAATGTAAGGTGATGCATGTAGGTTTTCACAATTCAAATTATTCTTACAATTTAAATGGGAATATGTTAAGTGCTATGGTTTAAGAAAAATATCTTGATGTTGTGATTGAAAAATCACTTAAGTCATCTAAACAGTGTATTGTAGCTAGCAATAGGACTAATAGGATTTTGGGTAGCATCTATAGAAATATTGAATACAAGACAAGGGATATTATTGTTTCACTTTGTAGATCACTTGTAAGGTATCATTTAGGCTACTGTGTACAGTTTTAGGCTTTCTCCCTCAAGAAGGACATTGAATTGTTAGAGAAGGTTCAGAGAAGAGCCACTAGGATGATACCTGGGATGATGGGATTGGATTGTCTATGAGGAGAGACTAAAATCTCTAAACTTGTTTTCTCTGGAGAGGAGAAGGGTCAGAGGGGATTGAGGTGTTTAAAATTATTAAGGGTATTGCTAATATAGACCCATCAAATATTTTTGTGTTTAGCAGTGAAAACAGTAGGACAAGGGAGAATAAATTCAAATTTTGGCTGCATAGGTGTCATCTGCAGTTTAGACAGTATTACTTTTCAAACAGGGTGGTTGGCTTTTGGAATGAGATGCCTTCAAGGCTGGTGGAGGCAGAAAATTTAACTGAGTTCAAGAAAAGATTGGATGCATACATGAGTAGTAAGGGGTGGTTATAGTTGGGAGCTGGAAGGGACATTCTTGATGGGCTAATAAACTCCTTTTTTATTCCTTTAAAATGTTATGAAATTCTATGGTACCGAGATGTATTCTGTAGCTAGTCTCACATAAAATAATAATAATTAATGGAACAAAAATAATCAACTAATCAAAATTAGTATTTTCCAATTTTTACTAAATTATTAAATATATCCAAGTCTCATGTGAGAATAATCAATTAGTTTAATGCAATTGATTAATGAGCCTGACAATTAATCGATTGTGAAATTCCACTAATAGCCCAGCTATGTTTGTATTTGTTATGAAGTTTGTTGAAACAAAGGGGCAGACATACATTAAATGGTTTATGGTTTTTTAATAGATTAGGTTTGAGTGATAAATTTGTTTTGTTTGTCAAATGTTTCCTTGCTTACAAGATACTAGAATGACAATTTTTCATGTTCTTGCCATTGCTACCACAATCAAATCACATATATGCAGTCTATTTGTTTAGTGTTTCATACACCGTACATAATGCATAGATTGTAGCGTTATTCATTATGTAGTAGCTGTTACACATGATTTAAATAACTAATACACTTTGTCACTAACCTGTGGTGTAAATCATATTATGATGTGTTTGTTTAACTTAAAACCATGTGGTTATAATGTCATGTAAATGTGCTTGTTTATGTTGTGGTTGTATGAAACATCTAATAAAAACTGCATGAAAGTGAAATGTTGCCAACAAGCTTCTGTTTTTTTTGCCCACGGTTACTGTGTTGTATAATGTATTGTTTTTTCAGCTTGAGTACTAGTGGGTAGTCAGAATAGTGGTGTTATTAGTTTTTATTTGTGAATGGTCATCCTCCAGTGTTAATCATCTAGTTTTGTAGGTGTTTGTTTTGTTATTTAGTTTAATAATCATCAGTTAATTACCTTTCTTGAAGGAATTATGGCTAACGGCTTATGGCTTATTTTTTCTCAGGTTAGGTGAGCACTACCTTACCCGAGTTTTTTAGGGAATCATTTTATTCACAGTGCATTTCATTATGGCTTATTTTTTCTCAGGTTAGGTGAGCACTACCTTACCCGAGTTTTTTAGGGAATCATTTTATTCACAGTGCATTTCAATTATGAATGTAAATGAATCATTTTAATAATCTGTTTGTTTTTTATCAAAGGTGTTATTTTCATCTAAAGTTTCATGCAACATGGGCGCAGATAAAAATAGATAAATAATTTTTGTTTTATTTTTTCACATCGTTGATTTTGCTATGTAAACAATTAGGTGAGTGTGGTAAAACGAGCAAATATCAGAGTTCACGTGTTATTATGTACACGAACTTGTAACAACACACTACTTACTAATGTTTGTTTTCCTTTTCAGTAGATGCAGATTTCCACAACCATATGGTTATTATGGAGTTGATATAATTATACAAGCCTAGGTTAAATTTAATATATCAGAATATTATCATCTAATGGGACCTTTTGTAACACTCACAGAGTACGTGTCTATAAGATTAACATGTATTTCAAAATATGATTGTAAATTCAAGAAGCTATAATGATACAAGGGTTCATTTAAGCATTTACTGTGTTTTATTTCTAAAAAAAAAGATATATTTTGAGTAGATATTACAGTAAAGCTTTGAGGTTAGTGTTGTTGAAGCATAACTGTATTAATCAAGTTTTTGATTGATTTCTTTCATTCTTAGAATGTCTTCTGTTTTTTTACTGACAGTTTATGATTACTTTCTGGGTGTTGGTTTTGTTTACGGTACAGTAAAATCATGCAAGTGTATAAAACTGACATGAAAAAAAAATATATATATATATTATAAATTGAACAACAATAAATATTTACTCAAATATGCTCCTCTCCTTATGAATTTTTTCCGTTCATGCTCATATTTTCGAAATATTTTTATTCAATCAGTCAACAGAAGAATCCTTTTTTTGTTTGTGAAATTCCCTCAGGAAAAGAAAGATTTTTTGCAAGACAGTTTAGAAATCAGTTTTTCTCATATAAATATGTATAGAAAATAATTATTGAGATGTATTCAAATTCTGGCTTGTGATTTATATTTAACAAGTTTTTATTGTCTTTATAGAAGCTCTCCTGCAGACTAGGCCCTTGCCAGAGATTCCAGGCTTAGAAGAAGTAATTCCTAACCTGCCTGCAGCTCCAGATGTACCGATGACTTCTCGATGGATGTCTAAAGAAAATCTTCTTGTCCCAACAGATACTGATCCTCAACTTTTTGTGTCTCTTTATGATTTTCAATCATCAGGAGAAAACCAGTTGGCTTTGAAGAAAGGTATTTTACATACTTTTACTTCACTCATTGATTTAACTTAGTTAAGGTTTTCTTTATCCTGACTTTCTTACAATGTACATAAAAGTGAGATAACATGCATCAATTTGAGGTTGCCTTTTTCACTTCTAGCTAGTCCAATGCTCTTTCATAAGTCTTTAAGTTCAGCTTTTTACTTTATTTATAATAGACAAATCATCTTACGATCCTTAATCATTCAAGTGCTGTCAAGTGTTTTTAAAGTAAGTCTTAGTAACAAAGCTAGATATATATCTCTGTATCAATAGGTGCAGTATCTATTATCAGTTATGAGTCTACATTTATATGCAAGCTTAATTTCAGTAAATTGTGTTCAGAAGTTTATCATATTTTAACAAATAAAAGAATATTATTTAGAAAATATATCTTATGAAGAATAGATTGCCAACATAATTTGGCAGTAAATCACAATAGCATTATTTGGTAGAGAAAGGGTTAAGGAACACTTTTGCTTTTAAAAATTTCATTAATTGCTTTAAATGTACACAATAATATGTGGATTTTAATTATATGTTTTATTCTGGATTTCAACAAAAATAATGCTAATTGTAATGTAAACTCAGGGTAAAGTGTTCAACTTGTGAGACATTTTAATCGAATGTCTGAAAAAGGAACCCTGTTCTTACCTATATTAGGATCCTTAATTAAACAGAAAATCAAGCAAAAAGAAGAAATTATAATAACTTCAAATTTTAAATGTTGTATACATATATATATATATTACATTCAGATCTTTATATGATCTTTCAAAAATCATAAGATTTGGTAAGATATTTGTGGGATCTGTAAGATCTAACTGTTATCTTACCAGATCTTTAAAGATCCTTATAACATCTTAAAGAACTCTATAACATTCAGAAATAATATCCTACAAGGATACCTTAAGATCTGAATATTATCCTGTCAGACCTTTAAAGATCCCTTAAGATTTTGCTGAAGATCTTGCTAAAGATTTCTGTCCGAGTTTTCTTATTTTTAAGACTTGTGTTTGGAAAGATGCATTTTCAGATTTTTTTTGTAGTTTCGAAAAGTTTTGAAATATAATAGCAGTCGGTGGACATGTCCTTGTAGAGAATCATTTTCTTATACCTGATTTTTCAAATTAGAAATTTTCTGTAATGTATTCTTGAAAAGAAGCTTTTCTATATGTATAGTTTTTTTCTACAATTAACCATTCAGGAGATACAGAGCTTGACAGACAGACATTTGGCTATTATATATACATATATATATATATATTATAGAACATTTGCTTGGATCTATAAAGATCTGAGTTATATTTCCACATACAAAGTCTCTAAGTTATATTGAGTTTTATGTGTAATTTGAACAACTGGTGATCTCAGATTGTGGTTAATAACTGTGGATTATATTTTCATTCAATATTTTGAATATCTGGTAGGCTTAGCTGTGGGGTCTCAAGGTTATATTAATAAGGTTAAAATCTTTATGTTATATTGTTTACTATGTAACTAGAACACCTGCTAGATACAGAAGTTTGGAGCAAACTCACTGGATTAAATTATTTTATAGATAATATGAAAATCTAGAAAGGAATTAACACCCCTGTAGAAACTGTATACCTTTCTGTGTCCTTGTGTTTTCAGTAAAGGTAATCTGTGAACCTACTGTAATTCTCATACAATTTTTTGTTCATAACTAGTAGTATTAAAAACTGTTAAAATTTTTTAGGTTTTTATTTATTATTCTGTTTCTTTGTAAACTAGTTTGTTTTTGTTTTTTTGCAATATTGTAATGTCCTGTTATCCTACTCTATAGCCATACATTTATGTCATAATAATTTATGTTACACTTTCAGAGCCATTTCATTGGTCACAAAACATTGTTAGGGAGGCTTATGTAAAGTTTTACAAAGGTTTTCAAGAAACATTAAACTTACAATAGTATATGAAACAAACCACTAGTGTTTACGTGTTCCATAAGTAAGGCATACTCAGTTCTTTCTGTAATGTTACTTTCATTAATAACATCAGTAAAATGTTTAATATATCTATTTTTAGTATGTTTAATTTTTTTATTTTAATTATAAATATAATATTTTGTTGTTAGCAAAGTATATAGGTTTAGGACAAATGTAAATCTCCTCAGGTGGTTGAACTTCATGAGATATTATTGGGATTATGGCCAAAAGTATTGATTTTAGTTATGATCTACATAGATAGTTTGCTTTGATTAGAAGTTTGTATTTATTAAATAGAATTGTTACGTGTAATATTTTTCAACACTGTACACTTTTTGAATTTTAAAATAAGATATTCACTTTGTAGATATTCAAACTCTCATTTCAGGGGAACAGGTTCGAGTCCTTTCCTATAATAGAACAGGAGAATGGTGTGAAGCTCAGTCAAGAACAGGTCAAGTGGGGTGGGTTCCAAGTAATTATATCACTCCTGTTAACAGCCTGGAGAAACACTCCTGGTACCATGGTCCTGTCTCTCGAAACGCTGCAGAATATCTTCTTAGTAGTGGAATTAATGGAAGCTTCCTAGTAAGAGAGAGTGAAAGTAGCCCAGGACAGAGATCTATCTCTCTACGATACGAAGGTCGAGTGTATCACTATCGGATTAGTGAAGATGCTGAAGGAACTGTGAGTAGACTTGGAAAAATTTATAAAATCTTGCTTTTCTTCCTTTACACATTTGTGATTTTTATATTTTCAACTTAGTGTTGATTTGTGGTATTTGAGGAGTGGTTACGTTGGTTGAAGATAAAAAGATTTAACTTGCAAATATATATTATCTAAGCTGATTTTTTATAATGAATATTTATCTTAAATTGAAAATCTATTCTTTAAATATAAACATTTCTGCCAGACACAAACTAAGATATTTTAGTACAAATGAACTTTCATGCACATCTCCAAGCACTTGAAGATAAAACACTTTAAAGTTCTTGAATAAGTTTTGTGCTTTAAGATTTTTGAAATTAACAAAAATAAGTTTTTATTTAGATATTCAAGGGAAGAAAATTATACGTAGACTGTGTATTTTATAAATCACATGTGAACATTTCACGAGATTTTTTATGATAAACTTAATGTTTCTGCAAGTATACAATGCACATTTACCTTTTGAGGAAGAAAATGTTATTACTTTGTTGTGTTGTCGTTCTAAGTTTCTCATGCTTTTCCTTTCCATCATCTGTGAAGTTTCTCATTTACTCTCCTTCTCGATTGATTATGTGAGCTCATGAGATGCCAAGTGAACACTGTTCATGTGTATCAACAAGTAAACTTCCTACCTGCTAAGATCCTTTGTATTCTTTCTCGTCTTAACAGTAGTTTTTGTCAGGTCACAGGGATGTTGCTGAGTTTGTTAAAGATGCTGTTCGTAGTTACGTTATCATTAGTACAGTGCTATATGTTTAGGTTATTTGTCTTTATATGTACGTTACTTAGCACTGTATTTCTAAATTAATCTTTATCTCCACATTAATTTGGTCACATGTTTTTAAGTTTGTTTTCAATGTCTTTCTGTTCTTCGTAATTAGTTTCTGCATTTATAGATTTTTTAAAGTTTCCTTGAGTTAGTAGCTACTTTAAGTATTTACAGTGTCATGTCAGCTATTATCAAAATTGCATTTCATTTTCATCTCGGCTCTCTTTCTAGACATGTAAAATTCATTTGTTGAAATATTACTATTTTATTATAACTTTTTTTGGTTGATTTCACTTGATTTTTCGTCTTCTGTTTTAATGTGGAGATCTTGTTCTTGCAGGTAATTGATGTTGTAGTAATAACTCAAACTATTATTTGTATTTCTGTTTAACAAAAGATAAACTCTGCTTGTTTTTCATACTTGTGGACTTTTTTTAATATTTTATTTAACGCTGTTGTGAGAACTACAACCTATTTAAAAAAAATTAAAGTTTTTTATCCTCGTCATGCGATTTTAAAAGTGTTGGTTCTTATTGTTTACCATCTCTTCTGTTTGTGCAGGACCTTTCATGCTACATTTTTGCCACCTGTCTAAATGTTGACTGGATGTGTACTTTTCATGATGAGTCTTCATTCCATTTCTTGTTATAGCTGTTGGTTATTGACTCGTAGAGTTTTATATTGTCTTGATGCTGCTAAAGCATATGTCTTATTTTAAAAATAAAATTTATACTCTATTATGTTAGCTCTTACCATAAGTATTGCTTTCATGGAGTGATCATGTTCCTGAGATGGCTCTTGAAAGCTTTTCTTGTTATAGTTTGATTTATTTCATTTTCTTGTTGGTTGATGTTTTTTTCAGTGGTATTCCTTGTTCTAAGCGACAGAGAATCTATTTTTCCTGGATATTTCTTGTGAGGATGGTTGTAGTGGTTACATTCTTTGTTTCGAGTGACAGAAAGTCTCTTTATTTTTTTTCCCAGGCCTGTTTAATAGTGGTAGTGGTTATATTCCTTGTACTGTGTGACAGAGAATCACGTCTTTCCTACGTCTTCCTCTTGGTGATGGTTACTTTCCTCGTACTAAGTAACAGAGAATCTCTTGTTTCCTGAGTGTCTGGTAGTGTTGGTCAGGAGAAGGGGTACATTCCTTGATGGTCTTTTTTTCTAGAAGACTTAGCATTCTGAGCTGCTTTTGATGCTTCATACCCTAATGGATTATCACCCTTAAGGCAGGGGATTGCTTTGGGAAGAAAGCTTCTGATGCTGAAATTGGGGACATGCTAAACTAAAGGTAGTTAGTGAACTCCATCTGGTGTGACTGGGAGGCTCATTTCTCAGGTGAGTGAAATAGATTTCAAACAATCATATCTAAATTGACGTGTTCCATCACATTCTCTTCATGGTTGTTATTTCTTCATAAATGTTGATGCACGTGGACAATGCTTATTGGTGGAGTAATATCTGAACTCGGGAGAAAGATGTGCCAACACTGATTGCCTGTATTTTATGTGACTACTTATGTAACAAGGTAGCAGAAAGGAAAGGTAGGAGAACCTTACTCCAACAACATATTGAAGTAGTTACTCCATATTTTTATATATATATATGTATATTTTAATTCTAACACAGGAATATTATGAGGACTTCTTTTAAACATTTTTCTGATTTAGGTGTATGTGACCTCAGAGTGTCGGTTTAACACCTTGGCAGAATTAGTACATCACCATTCCATGCATGCCGATGGTCTCATCACCATGTTGCTTTACCCAGCACCCAAACGAACCAAACCTGCTCTGTTTGCTCTTAGTCCTCAGCCAGATGAATGGGAGATTGATAGAACAGACATTGTGATGAAGCACAAGTTGGGAGGGGGACAATATGGGGACGTATACGAAGCGACGTGGAAGAGATACAACATGACGGTTGCTGTCAAAACTTTAAAGGTAAGGAATGTACAAAGATCTCCTTGTTATGTTCAAACTCTGTTGGTCCATGTGATGTAATACTTATGTAACTTTTACCTGTTTATTTTGTGTCTAACAGTTAAAATTTATTTTTAGACTTTTACATCAATTGAATATTAATTGTTTCAAATCTTAAAATCCATGTTTTAAAAACATTTCTTCAATAATATTTAGAAAAATCATGAGTTTTCTTATTCTTAAGACTTGTGTTTGGAAAGATGCATTTTCAGATTTTTTTTGTAGTTTCAAATGTTTTGAAATACAATAGCAGTTGGTGGACATGTCCTTGTAGAGAATCATTTTTTTATACCTGATTTTTCAAATTAGAAAATTTACTTAATCTGTTGTATTATCTAGGAGGATACAATGGCCTTGAAGGATTTTCTAGAGGAAGCAGCTATTATGAAAGAGATGAAACACCCAAATTTAGTACAACTAATAGGTGGGTTAAACGTAACATTAAACAGTAAGTAGGTGAGAGAGTTTTAACTTTTCTTTGATTACCTGTATTAAAAACAACTCTGTATTAAAATTAAAAATAAACTGTTCCACAAACATGAAATTGATCATGATTCAATAAAAAATTAGTGTTTGAATTATACATTTAGAAAAGAAAGATTGGCCGATGAGTGAGGAGTTCAGTAAATTTTGAACAAATTTCTGGTCAACATGTTCTCAGCATTAATTGTTGTCTAGATTGATCATGATAATAGATGAAAATTATGCATTAAAATTGTTTGTAGTAACAAATCCTTTTAAGTTTAGCTTACTTGGAATAGTGTAGTAGTTGGAATTAATCAAAAGGACTTAAAATACACTTTGCATGGTAGCAGAATGTACATAAAAATGACCCTTCTCCTTCAAGTGTATAAATTTAAGTTTAAAACAGTTTTAACTATATTGATTATGTGAGTGTTATTATAGAATTTACAGAACACTTGTAGTACAGTTCAGTTTATCATTCTGTTATCTTGATAACAAAAATTATAAATAGTTGAAAAGCTACGAGCTCTTTATTTATTTTAGCTGGAAATATATAATTTTATCCATATCTTTCATGATGTTTAAAAAAAAGAATGAAAAACTTGGATCAATCAAATATATAACTGATGATGATTAGCAAACAACCACAAGTAGAGATAAAGTGAGATAATCAGTTATATAAAGACCTATATATTCTGTATAAAAATCCTTCCTTCAAATTATTTTTTTCCTCATCAAATTGTAGTCATTCAAGCTATTCATTCTTTGTATAACACAGTTAACTTTTAATGAATCTAAGTTTCAAATGGACAGCAATTACCTGTTGTAGAAACCTACAAATGTAGAGGACG